CTTAAATTAACGCCAAAAAAAAAGACTAAACAAATGGACGAAAAGAAGTATAAACTTATTTGCGTACGCAAAGGAAAAACAAATTACGCAAGAACGAATAATAGAAAAAATGTTACACTTGGATCTTACAATAAGTCTGTGCTGTGACGGTATGTTTGTCGACATACATTGTTGTCCATTGGAGATATTTACAATTACAATTCTTTTTCGGAATAGTTGCGTGACACAGTTAATGATTAACTGCTCTAAATTGGTAGAGGTTATTTCGAATTATCCCAGCTACGAGGAATTGTTACATTGAGATTCAAACAACCATTGGACATCACAAGATTAAAATCCATCCCGTTCTGTCTTTTTTGAGAGAGATTCGTTGAAAGTGCATTTTTCGAGCTAATTTTAGCCTTTCACCCCAGGGATTTGATATGGGAGTTCTAATACCCCAGGGTTTAGCCGGGAGTCCGAACTACTCTGGATTATTGAAAAACTTAATGACCAGACATGGTTTGATGCTAATCTGGTTTAAAGATTTAATGAATGTAACGAAAAGTTACAATTCATAGACCCAACGTTTCGACACTCCTGTCTTCATCAGGGGTGATCAAGAGCTCCTTATTTATATGCTAACTATAATTAGCTGCACTTTTTATGACGAGTTGTAAATAGGCGTCAGGTAAGAAGCCGCCATCATCATGATTTAAAAGAGCGTGGGCGCAGTTGATATACCAGGCTTCCAAACAAAGGCGCTTGTGGTAACGTTGATTAGTATCCCACCCAATTGTATGGTTAGTTAAGAATGTGCCCTCCGACAAAGCTGAAATTTTTTGTTTTGGCAAAAGAAGACCGCTTTTGATGCTATTTCAAACGTGTACCAAACTAACGTTTGGTCGGTCCGATACGCTCTTGATCGCAGTCATTGTATGGAATAGAATAAATAGCGTCGACTCCTTGTTCTTTCGGAACAGGATCCTTAGGTTTGGCAAAAATATGCCCTACAGTCTCAAAAAGTTTTTGAGCAACTTTGACGTTGTGGCTATTCAAAATTTATACCGCGTCAGAAAAAGGTGCAGTTAATTAATGAGCATATGTAAGGTCCTCTTGTTGTAGCGATTAGATTACCCCTGATGAAGGCACTAGTCTGAATGTCTGAATGTCCACCTGGTTGCCTTATGAACTTCAATATAACCTAGTGACCCTCACAAACTGTTAAAGTTTGAGAGAAATCTGCGAGATAGCATGTGTCACGCCATCACGGTCATCTCGTGAACAGACTCATAAATACACTGGATAATAGAACGAGAATTTGAAACTAGATTTTTTCATCCCACACCTTTGTCGTCACAATTTTGTGATTGAGGTGATTCTTCAGTTTTGCACTGCGCATCCTGTACTGTGCATAAAAATCACGTAGTCGGAGAAATGAGCGCCCGAGCATTCCGAGAACATGGTATTTTTTTCAATCCATGGACCGGGTAAAGAGGTACCATACTCTTTAGTTCTTGAACGAGCACAGTGACCCATATATACATATCTATTTTTTTTGCATAATTTTGGTGTACAATTGATTCCCTTTAAATTGGAGAAATTCTTCGAAGGGAAAAAAAGATGAAGCTAAAAGCGTACACGAAGCGCGTTACTCGAGTATGCAAATCATGACCTTGAAAGGAACGACTCGTGGAACGATTTGAGTCAATATCGTTTCGGTTTGCGTGATTTTCCCACAAATTATATATCCAATTGTTCCTTAGCTCGAGACTTTCTACTTATCAAGTTGTCTCAAGTGTTACTTTAAAAAACCCTTGCATCCAGCCGCAGCAAAATGGACCGTGACCAATGGAATGACGCGCGTGATTAGTACAGGCATAAATTGGGTAAGTTTGGCCCATTAAATCTCGCAAACAAGCACGGTGACTATCTTTCTTATTGTATTTCTCGAAACAGACATTGGTAAGAAACATCAAAGGAAAGTTTGAAAACAATGGTTCGATAACCTATTTTTCTAAGGAATCACCTTAAAAGATGATATAGATGAGCCGAGGTAAACAAACCGGTGAAATGCACGGCACAACTTCGGTTTCCCTTGCAACGACTTCAGATGCGGCCGTATCGTCAACGTACTTCCATACATTAGTTAAATTATAAACATCTGAATCATTTAAAAGTATAAGAAATAGCTATGGGCCTAGTTTTGTTTCCCTGTGGGACCCCGGGAGGCACTGAATCCCACTTGGAGTAACAGCCCTCAGATAGTTTGATTCTTTGGTTTAAAAATGCAACCTCTTTAAGAGAAACACAGGAGACTTTCAAGGGTTTTCTCGAGATAAATTTTATTTTTGCTTGTTTGGAATGGCTACATAGCTGATAATCAGTTGCAAACATTCTTTCCCTTAAGAAAGACTTAACGTTGAGTGTATGAAAAGACAAAAGACATTGCGTCTGTTTTTCGATACAATAGTCCTTGAATGCAATTGTCCCAGTCCAAACTATTTTCGATCTCTCAAGTAACTGACCATAGATAGGATTTCTGTTAAGGGTCCTAGTCAACCACAGGACATTGCGCGCTTAATCCGCCATTTTCTATGCCATTTAAATTCGAGGAATTTTCAAAACAAAAAACCATCGATGGTATCTCGCGTTCCTTCACATGGAAGGCCTAGAGCCTCGGAGCAGACTAAAAATTTCAACCTGTGGAATGACAGGAAAGATATTCCTAGCATCAGAGATCTAACTAATGGCCAATTTGCAGATATTTTTCTGCATCAAAGCGTGGACAAGCTTCGCGCAGGATGCATATCATAAGAAGCAAATGACCAGTTAAAAAGTTAAAGTATTGACGAGCCTGTGTGACATTCCTGGCATCTGCAAGCGATTTTAAACTTCTGTCGTCATAGATTAGTTTAGATCAGGATACATTTTGATGATCTTTTCCCAATGTAATTTTTAAATGAGGCGCCATTTCCCCATCAATATTTTCTTGAGGTTAGGTAAAGCCGGGTGATATTGAAATGCAAAAGACAACATTTCCTTCTGTGTGCTGTTTTCTTTGTTTTAAGTGACCCTTCTCTACTGTAGCAGACAACTCCAGACATGTATTTCTCCAGAACTTCGTCAGGTATCCTCTTTCCCTTCTTTAGTCGTATTTTTAAGCAATGTGCGTTATTTATTAAATGTGGAGCGCGTCGGATTTGTTTTTTTAGGATGCGTAACGCTTCTACTTCTGCGAATCCTTTCTTTACGCCACGTAAAAACTGTTTACGGGCCGGCACGACTTCTGCCAGGCGTTGAGTTAATATGAACGAATTTCTACGCAGTTGCACGTATGTTAACAAAAACAGAAGTGTGGTTGACAAGGATCCTTTAAGATGCTACATCAAAATCTTTCCACAAATATTGAAGGTTGTGATAACTAAACCTTACAAAAGGCTTAGAAAAAAAATCAAACCAAATTTTAATGGTTCGTTTTATACCTAAACTACTGCTTTAACTTCACTGATTTCGCTTTACTTAAAAGCCTTACGTACGTTAACATTGTTTCTTGCCTATTATACCAGAAATATAAATTTTGCGTTAAAAAAAAAACACTCTGAGTACTTAACCAATTTATCCTTCTGAGAATATTGGAACAGAAAGCACAAAAAAGTGAAATAGCTCTCGATCCCTTAATTTGGGATAGCTCTTTTTTTAATTTCATTGAAATACCGGATAGAGTATTTTCTCTACTTGTTTCTATTCAATTTATGCATCTAAAAGTCTTTTTGCTCTGTTTCCTTTGAGCAATCCTCACTATTTACTCTGTCGGGGTCCTTTTTCCTGTAAAATAGTGAAAAACATTAGACTAGCCTTGATGTTGAAGGTATCAAAGGATCCCCGCCGACAGTCAGCGACCAGTAAGTCGTAGCCACCTTCACACGTAATTTAACTTTAATTTATGAAATACATGTTCTCACCGAGTCTTACCTCTGCTCGTCAAACTCGAGCCTCACATCATCCCCAATCAGCGTAAACGAAGCCCACTCAGACACATTGGTAAGGCGGTTTTTCCTCATCCACTTCATGGCCTGATGAAGGGATTCACTAGCACTTTCTCCTTTAACAAGGTGTTCGTAGAACCGACTCATCAGGTGCTCTGTTGCTGAGTCTGAAATGGCCCACAGTGCAACCAACACCGAGCGAGCACCGGATCCTAAGAACGCACGGGCAATTCCTATAACTCCCTCGGCTCTTATCTCTCCACTTCCACTGTGACAGCAGCTAAGTACCACAAGTTTAGCTCTGACTTTCACTCGCGAGACATCAGCCATCGTCAACATGTAGGCTTCCTGTGGTGGAAAAGCGTTTCGACTGTTGGCAGTAGGAATGGGGGAGAGGGCAATTTTTCCCCTTTCAGCGTCACCATGGGCAGCAAAATGAATCAGGCTCACTGAACTTATCCGCTTTAGGACCGCCTGCTTCGTTGCGTTCTCGTCTACCAGCGGCGGAACACCCATAAGTCGTCCGACCATCTCCGCTTCCTTTCTTGCACCTGGCAATTGCGGCAGCCAATCCACCTTGGGATTGCCTATTATCAAGGCACCAGTGTTGATGTGATAGTCCTCTGGACTATCTTGAATGATCTTGAGCGTCGTCAAAGAAGGAATGACACGGATCCTATGAGTCTCCGACAGGTATTCGGCTCCCTCCTTTTCACTCAGGGCAGCAAAGGGCACTTTGTACAACCTGCGGTCAGGAACAATAATGACTTCAGGCTCCTCAAGCAAATCATAAACGGGGGCAATAAACATTTTATAACACAAAGAAAGACTTGAAATGACTTTCTCGTCCTCGTCCTCGTCCTCGTCCTCGTCCTCGTCCTCGTCCTCGTCCTCGTCCTCCTCCACAAGCCGCAATCTTGCTGAGCTTTTTTGTTGGGAGAGAGAGGTTGCAATTCAACCATGTTTAAAGACCGATCTTCACAATCTTCAATGGGCAAAATACCAAGACTCCGGAAGTTATCAGCCAAAAATTCACTCAGAGGCTTGTCTTTTGGGCAACCCAGCCTGAACTAGAATCTCTTCAAGTGATATTCTTTTATAGTGAAGGACTCCACTTGTTTTCAAGATCCACAAACTCAGATGATTGTGAAAATAAGAAATGTACAGACAAGTACAGTTACTTTCCTTTCTAAAAATGCTTTCAATGCCAAACCAAGATTGTGGATTAGCAGAAATATGCGTTGTAACCAAGTACTTCTCTGCCATCAAGTCTGATAGACCTCTAGCTCGACCCAACTCCTCAACATAAAGAGCATCACGAGTTTTTCCGGTGCCACAAAGCAAAGTACAAAGCAGTTTGTAGGGAAATATTCCTGAGTTTTCCAGAAATGAAGTTTTGAACTGATCATTGGCACCCAAGAAAGATCTAAGCTCATCGTACTTTTCAATGCACAGATGAAGACACGAAAAGGCGTCTTTGATTTTCTTTTGAAATAAATACAAAATAGCGCATTCTTGAAGAATTTCGAACACTTTTCTTCTATTTCCAATATCTCTGGATATAGATAAGGCTTTCTCCAAGTATACTTCTGAAGCTTCATAATCTCCAACAGTTCTGGATATAATTCCAAGATTTGCAAGATCTGCTGCTTCCCTTGTCTATCACCAATTTCAGTTCTGATGTTAAGCGCTTTCTGGAAATATTCTACAGCCTTCTCGCACTGCTCGAGAAACCCAAACACAGTTCCAAGGTTTCCGTAGTCAGATGCTTCTCCTTTCCTGTCGCCAATTTCAATTCTGATAGCAAGCGCTTTCTGGAGATACTCTTTTAGCATCGTCGTATAGCCTAAGCGACAGAAACGTAGTACCTAGGTTTCCGTAGACACTTGCCTCTCCTTCTCTGTCGCCAATTTCAGTTCTGATGACAAGCGCTTTTTGGAAATACTCTTTAGCTTTGTCATGTTGCCCGAGCGACTCAAACACAGCACCTAGGTTTTCGTAGTCAGTTGCCTCTCCTTTTCTTTCGCCAATCTCAGTTCTGATGACAAGCGCTTTTTGAAATACTCTATAGCCTCGTTGTATTGCCCGAGCGACATAAACAAAGTACCTAGGTTTCCGTAGTCGGCTGCTTCTCCTCCTCGGTCGCCAATCTCAGTTCTGATGACAAGCGCTTTTTGGAGATTCTTAGCATCGTCCTTTTGCCCGATCAAATTAAACACAGAACCTAGGTTTCCATAACATGATGCTTCCCCTTCTCTGTTGCCAATTTCAGTGTTGATGACTAGCGCTTTTTGGAGATATTCTTTAGCATTGTGGTATTGCCCGAGCGAGATACACACGGTACCTAGGTTACTGTAGTTAACGGCCTCTCCTTCCCTGTCGCCAATTTCAGTTCTAATGACAAGGGCTCTTTGGAGATACTCTTTTGCCTTGTCGTATTGCCCTTGCGACATAAGCACAGTAGCTTGGGTTCCATAACATGATGCCTCTCCTTCCCTGTCGCCAATTTCTGTTTTGATGAACAGTGCCTTTTCAAGACACTCTTTCGCCTTGTCGTATTGCCCGAGCGACTTAAACACAGCACCTAGGTTTTTATAGCTTGATGCCTCTCCTTTTTTGTCTCCAATCTCAGTTTTGATGACAAGCGCTTTTTGGATATACTCTTTAGCCTTGTCGTATTGCCCGAGACACTTGAACACATTACCAAGGTTTCCATAACATGATGCCTCTCCGTTTCTGTCGCCAATTTCAGTTCTAATGACAAGCGTTTTTTTTAGATACTCTTTAGCCTCGTCGTATTACCCGAGAGACTTAAACACATTACCAAGGTTTTCATAACATGATGCCTCTCCGTGTCTGTCGCCAGTTTCAGTTGTATTGACGAGGGCTTTCTCGAGATACTCTTTAGCCTTCTCGTATTGCCCGTGCGACATGAACACATTAGCTAGGGTTTCATAACAAAATGCCTCCTTTTTGTCGCCAATCTCGGTTTTGATGACAAGAGCTTTTTGGAGATACTCTTTGAAATTGTCGTATTGCCCGAGTGAATAAAACACAGTACCTAGGATTAGGTAGTCAATTGCTTCTTCTTTTCTATCACCAGTTTCAGTTCTGATGACAAGGGCTTTTGGAGGTACTCTTTAGCATTGTCGTATTGCCCGAGCGAATGAAACACAGTACCTATGCTTTCGTAGTTAGCTGCTTCTCCTTTTCTGTCACCAATTTCAGTTCTGATGACAACGGCTTTTTGGAGATACGCTTCAGCATTGTCGTATTGCCCGAGCACCGTTAACAAATAACCTAGGATTCCATTAGATACTGCCTCTCCGTTTCTGTCGCCAATCTCAGTTTTGATGACGAGGGATTTTTGGAAATACTCTTTAGCCTTGTCGTATTGCTCGAGCGATATGAATACAGTACCTAGGCTTCTGTAGTCATCTGCTTCTCCTACCCTGTCGCCAATTTCAGTTCTAATAACAAGGGCTTTTTCAAAATACTCTTTAGCATTGTCGTATTGCCCAAGCGAATAAAACACAGTACCTAGGTTTCCGTAGTCAGCTGCTTCTCCTCTTCTGTCGCCAATCTCAGTTCTGATGACAAGTGCTTTTTGGAGATACTCTTTGGCATTGTCGTATCGTCCGAGCGACTTAAGCACAGTACCTAGCTTTCCATTACATAATGCCTCTCCCTTTCTGTCGCCAATCTCAGTTCTGATGACAAGCGCATTTTGGAGATACTCTTTGGCCTTGTCGTATTGCCTGAGCGACATAAACACTGTACCTAGGTTTTCGTAGTAAGTTGCTTCTCCTTTTCTGTCGCCTATTTCAGTTCTGATTGCAAGCGCTTTATGGAGATACTCTTTAGCGTTGTCGTATTGCCTAAGGGAATGAAACACAGTAGCTAGGTTTGCGTAGTCAGCTGCTTCTCCTTTTCTGTCGCCAATCTCAGTTCTGATGGCAAGGGATTTTTGGAAATACTCTATGGCCTTGTCGTATTGCCCGAGCGAATAAAACACAGTACCTAGGTTTCCATAGTCAGCTGCCTCTCCTTCTCTGTCGCCAATTTCAGTTCTAATGACAAGGGCTTTTTTAAGATACTCTTTGGCATTGTCGTATCGTCCGAGTGACTTAAACATAGTACCTAGGTTTCCATGACATGATGCCTCTCCCTTTCTGTCGCCAATCTCAGTTCTGATGACAAGGGATTTTTGGAGATACTCTTTAGCATTGTCGTATCGCCCTAGCGAATGAAACACAGTACCTAGGCTTTCGTAGTTAGCTGCTTCTCCTTTTCTGTCGCCAATTTCAGTTCTGATGACAAGCGCTTTTTGGAGATACTTTGTAGCATTGTTGTATTGCCCGAGCGAATGAAACACAGTTGCTAGGTTTCCGTAGTCAGCTGCTTCTCCTTTTCTGTCGCCAATCTCAGTACTGATGACAAGCGCTTTTTGGAGATACTCTTTAGCATTGTCGTATTGCCCGAGCGAATAAAACACAACACCGAGGTATCCGTAGTCAGCTGCTTCTCCTTTTCTGTCGCCAATTTCAGTTCTGATTACAAGGGATTTTTGGAGACACTCTTTAGCATTGTCGTATTGCCCGAGCGAATGAAACACAGTAGCTAGGTTTTTGTAGTCAGCTGCTTCTCCTCTTCTGTCGCCAATCTCAGTTCTGATGACAAGGGATTTTTGGAAATACTCTTTAGCCTTGTCGTATTGCCAGTGCGACTTAAACACAGTACCAAGGTTTCCGTAGTCAGCTGCTTCTCCTTCTTTGTCGCCAATCTCATTTCTGATGACAAGGGATTTTTGGATATACTCTTTAGCCTTGTCGTATTGCCCGAGATACTCAAACACATTACCAAATTTACTATAACATGATGCCTCCCCTTTCCTGTCGCCAGTCTCAGCTTTGATGACAAGCGCTTTTTGGAGATACTCTTTAGCATTGTCGTATTGCTCGAGCGACATAAACACAGTACCTAGGTTTTCGTAGTCAGCTGCCTTTCCTTTCCTGTCGCCAATTTCCGTTCTGATGACAAGCGCTCTTTGGAGATACTCTTTGGCCTTGTCGTATTGCCCGAGCGAATGAAACACAACACCAAGGTTTCCATAGTCAGCTGCTTCTCCTTTTCTGTCGCCAATCTCAGTTCTGATGACAAGCGCTTTTTGGAGATACTCTTTAGCATTGTCGTATTGCTCGAGCGACATAAACCCAGTACCTACGTTTTCGTAGTCAGCTGCCTCTCCTTTTCTGTCGCCAATTTCAGTTCTGATGACAAACGCTTTTTGGAGATACTCTTTGGCCTTGTCGTATTGCCCGAGCGAATGAAACACAACACCAAGGTTTCCATAGTCAGCTGCTTCTCCTTTTCTGTCGCCAATCTCAGTTCTGATGACAAGCGCTTTTTGGAGATACTCTTTAGCACTGTCGTATTGCTTGAGTAACTTAAACACAGTACCTAGGTTTCCGTAGTTAGCTGCTTCTCCTTCTTTGTCGCCAATTTCAGTTATGATGACAAGGGATTTTTGGAGATATTCTTTAGCCTTGTCGTATTTTTCGAGAAACGCGAACACATTACCAAGGTTTCTATAACACGATGCCTCTCCTTTCCTGTCGCCAATCTTAGCTTTGATGACGAGCGCTTTTTGGAAATACTCTTTAGCATTGTCGTATTGCCCGAGCCAATAAAACATATTACCTAGGTTTTCGTAGTCAGCTGCCTCTCCTTTCCTGTCGCCAATTTCCGTTCTGATGACAAGCGCTTTGTGGAGATACTCTTTTGCCTTGTCCCATGATTCCCCGAGCGACCAAAGTAAAGGTCCTAGGTTTCCGTAACAGGATGCTTCTCCTCTTCTGTCGCCAATTTCGGTTCTTATGGTAAGGGCTCTCTCAACATACTCCTTTGCTTTTAGTTTTTCGCCAAGTGTGTAATACATAATTCCAAATCTTTCGCAGGCATTTGCTTCTCCAATTTTTTCACCAGTTTGTTTCTTAATATTAACTGCTTTTTCATAAAGTTGTTTCGCATCTGTAAACCTGTTTTGACTCTCAAAAACCATTGCTAGAACCATGCTTGCATCTCCCTCTTTTACTAAGTCACCAGACTCACTGGATAAGACAAGCAGTTTCCTACCGTATCTTTCCGCACCTATGTAGTCAGAGATACGACAGCAAGCTCTGAAAAGAAGTAAATTGAAGGCGCTGTGAAATTGTTGCAGTTGCGAAATGAATTGGTCTTTGCTGTTTTGATCGGCGTTATGTAGTAAAATCAAACATTCGCTGCATATCCCAATGGCTTTCTGAATGCGATCTGAGTTGAGCAGGAACTCAGCAACCGGTAAAGCGATGTTCATGAAAGCTATCATGGCTTCTGTCGTCAGCTTTCCATTGCCATCCTCTCCTGTTATTAGGGAAACATTAGTTCTTGTAACACAAGTTAACCAAATGGTTTGATAATCTGGATTCATAATGAGTCATTGCAAACAAGAAACCATATGCGAAGTTAGAAAAAAATACGCTAAGTCGATTACAGCTGGAGATTTTTTGTACCGAGCTGAAAGTGTTAGAATTCACAGTATCGACTTAAAACAAAAAAATTAGTGAAGAAGAGGCGTGGATAAGTAGAACTAGAGTACATCAACGAATCACAATCGGTGAAACTTGTCAAATTAATTTGATCACGGTTTTTAGAAAACTATTTACTACTAGAAAGTGAACTATTATCCAAATGATTTTTAATCTAGCTGTTTCGTTTACTCATCATGTCAAGCATAAAGAAAAAAATGACGCGCGCCCGAGTTTGACTAACGGTTGTGCGTCGGGGGGTCGTGCCATCAATTAAGAGGTTTTTGAAAGGTTGTGGGTTTCTTAAAAAAACAAGAAGGATTGGTAAACCTTTTACTGCAACTTTCTAGGAACATTTGAAAATGTTGTTTGAGCAGTTAATCACCATATAATGAGTTTACTTATCTGAAGATTATATGGCTGAAAATGAATCTATTCGTAACTTATGAAGATAATTGCCAAGATTTGAGGTAGTAATGGTTTGACAAACTCGGTTTGTTACCTTTCATAATACTGAAGTTGTGATTTTTGCACAACAGGCATGACTTAAAAGTCAATGGACAAAGATAAACAAAACAGCTTTTATATTAACTTAACTTTTTCTATGAGAACTTTCCCCATGCATAGTTTCTAAAGGCAACATTAATCAACGTGGTAATTTTCTAAACAAACTTTGGTGGGGTATTGCAAAATAATTTGGCTTTACCAACTGAGTTGACAATGTAAATTGGCCATCGTAATTAGTGTTTTTGAAGCTGACGTTTCGAGCGTAGCATTTTTCATCTTAAGAGATTGTTATTCGAGGATTGTCGATTCATTTATTTTCATTTATTGATAAAGTCGGCTTTTCTTCCCAGTAAAGGGCTACTGTGTTTATATGATAAACAAAATAATACATGATTGTTGTAGATGTGGAATTTTTCTTCTCGTGTTTAACTCGAAGAGAAATTCCATATCTACGCGCGCCCATGTATTATTCTCTGTGTATGCCTTGTATGCCAAGTATGCCAATGTCTTAGTTGAAAAACGTACACTTGAAAAAAAAAAAAAAAAGCAAAATTGTAAATCTGAAACCAAACTGCTTATACTCTATGCAATCTATTGAACAACACTACTACCGTGAGACTGAAGAACAAAACTCTAATGGTGCAAACTGGAACAACGAAATATCCCTCTTCTGCAGTCAGGAGAAAATATCGAAAGTCTAACAAATACAGGATACTGAAAATGCTAAACCAATATCCGCATGTAAAAAAGCCAAAGCAGTCGAATGCATGGAAGTCTAATTCAGTACCAAATGTCTGGGGATATAGAAACAAACCCTGGTCCTGTTATTAATTCTACGAAAACAATTCAAGCTCCTTACAGTCAAGACAATGTGGCAATGTTTGGGTTAAATGCTGGTACACAGTGTGTAGCCAGGTCACTTGCTTTCCTCATATATATAACAAGAGGAATGGTATTGTATCCACAATGGACTTGGTTAATATCATGAACATTGGTAATGAATTGTATTCTGGTCTATCTAGTCTATCCAGCCAATCCTATTTACTGTTAACAGATGTACCTGAAATGATAATAGTGTTTAATATTAATTATCAGCTTCAATACAGTCCAAGCTATACTGGTACTATACATGGTACTTGTGAAGTACAAGATTTCAATCATTGTATGTCATTTGCTAATGTTATGTTAAGGCTTTGCTAGGACAAAATTATAATTCCTTTCTTTTAACAATACCTAGTACTAGGGTAGGTTTTTACTGTAGTGATGGTAAATTTGAGATATTTGATTCACAGAGGTAAATGGTATAAATCACTGGATCCCGTAGAAAAAAAAAGCTTTTGTCCAAATCAGCAGATTGGTGTAAATCACTTGGTTATGCAGAAAAACAAAATCTTTTGTCTAGCAGAGCAATTTGGTATAAATCACTAGATACTGCACAAAAATAAAAGAGGGCAGAATGGTTTAACTCGCTCAATTCTGCACAAGGACAAAAACAGCAGAATGGTATAAGTCATTGAATCCTGAAGAAAAAGAAAAACTTTTTTCTGGCAGAGCAGAGTGGTGTAAAACACTGGATCCTGCAGACAAAGATAAGATTATATCACAAGTCCAAGCTAATAAAGAAGCCCATAGACTCTCAGTTCAAGATAATTTAGATCATAGGATCACAGCTTTTCAAAGTAAGATTAGGGAAGGTTCATAATATATTTGCTCTGTTTGTAACAGAAAAAATATACAAAAAACTTTTATCCAATTTAAAAAAAAAAATGTACAACATTCAGCAAGAACTATTTACTGAGTTGTATCCTCATGATTCCTTTCCGTCTTGGAATGACCTATCACCTATCGCCTGACGACAACCTTTTTTGAAATAGGTGTATGCCCTTGGCCAGACTTGAGCTACTATTTCAGTATACCAGTCCGACACCCGTAGTTACAATACACTTGATCGCAAAGATCCCGTACCATCCAGGTATCCCAGTTACCCTGCTCACAGGGTCTAGTTTGATATAAGACCGATGAATCAAATACAAGCCATAAAATCAAGGTGTGTCCTGTACAAACAAAACCGCAAACGCGTGACTAGAGGTTACATGTAGAAATTAATTAAAAATTAACGTGACTGTTCGTAACACTCTTCATTTATCTATACCGCAGAGTTTATTTGAACACTAGTTCATTTAAAAAAAATCGCAATTTTGTCGAAGTTGGGTAGCTTTACCCAAACAGGTCTTTCCGAAAGTTAAAATAAAACGAGGTTGGGTCTGCGACATTCATGTTTTCAAGTAATAAGTCCACGCGGTAACTTTTTTAAGATAGTTTTCAATGAGAGAACCTATCAATCATCTACAAATTACTGACCGCTGAAGTCAAGGATAAACGAACTCATAAGCTATGGTTCTTGATGCTAGCATAATGAACTGCTTTGTTTGGCCTTGGTAATTTTCATCGCTGCGTTTTTATACTTTCTACTTGATTCGCCCGAACTGCAGGAAATGGTTTGTCTTCCAAAACATGGAGTCATTTCTCTTCGCACCTTATATCTAGAGTAAAACACAGTTGATGCTCGGGTAATGGTGAATATGTTTGTGATACGATATTTATCCTCTTTACGCTGGAAACTGATGAATCAGTCATCACAGTTTGTAAGAAGTGTTCGAACTGTGTTTCCTGATTGAAACGAAGTCTTGCATAATGGACATAATGTGCCCAAAAGCATTCAGGTAACCACATGGTAAGTGTATAAATGGTCGCTTACAGCTTGTAGTAGTATAGCGTAATTTTTTCACTTTAACCGTCTACACTTCATAAATTCATTTTGTAACCTGCTCGGGAAATTTCTTATGAATCCATCGGGCTACGTTCTCGGAATTTCACAACTGATTATGATCGATAAATGTTCGTATCTATACCACAATAATTAAAAAGATATTGCGGACAATGTTTAGGGTACCGCCTCCTGTAAGAGGCGAAGTCACATCATGTCCTCGAAATGAGCGAGTTAGAAAAGTGTGATGGTAAGAACAGAATTCAGATCTTGACCCAGCTTTGACCTTATGTTTCTCGGTGCCACTTTACAGTTGACGATTAACATCTCACTGGAGAGCGCGTGAACAAAATAAGTTTCAATTCTTTGCAGAAAATATCAAAAGGTGTGATCGGCGAATCATGGAAACTTGGAGGAAAAAATTTTCCTTAGTTAGAAAAGAGAGCATTTTACCGTTTGAATCACCGGATTATGCCCAGTAGATCCGAAGATTAAGAATTGTTTAGTTTCTGCCTTGACACAACAGAAGATAATAAACATCTCCAAATTATTTGTGACGTTTCCTTTCAGAAATATCTAAATAGGTTTGATCTGCACACCGTGAAAACTTTGAAGAGAAATTTTGTTTATTGAGAGAGAGCATTTTACCATTGCAATCAGCAACTATAGCTAATGCCCAAATGAGTCACTGACCGCTCAAACTCCAGGTGGCCCAAGCTCCAGGCGCCTGTGAATGAGCCGATAAATTTGCAAAGCGAGTAAGGTCCAAAACACGATATCTTGAGTTTAACAGGGTGATCCTATTCGATGAAATTATGGAACGGTGAAATGGCAGAATGGCGAAATATCCTGCAATATGGAATGCTTTGTTGAATGAAACAAATTTTTTTTCTGTCGACACTTGATTATTCCGCATAATTTGTGCTTTTACTTATTATTTTGTAGCCTCAAAAGCCACTTATATGGCTCTGAAGGTACTGAACTTGATTTATGTGATGCATAGCGTTCTCTTCAAGAAGGAAGGATAGAATATTTTCAGGTAAAATTGCTTATTGGATGGTAGTTTACATATTTCATACAGTTTACATATGTATTAACCCTATCTTAGCTGTATCCAGAAGCATATACATGTATTAGGTAGTATGCTTCTGTTGTTTTTTATTGTAATGTGTCTCAACTTATGGAACATTCACCCTCTAATTTCTCTGCTTAATTAAATAATTAAATGAGTGTGGGAAGATGAAACTGAAACTGAAACTGAAATGTCTGAATGGGAGTCAGTGCTCTTTCAAGACTCACTGTGAACACTGGCAATCTGATTCAGGTGAACAGGCATCAGTAAAATAAAACCCTTTAACTCCCAGAAGTGATCAACATGAAACTTCTCCCTATAATAAAGGGATCAACATGAAACTTCTCCCCATAATACCCCTACATTATCAAGCAAACAGTTAATGAGAATATTCAAACTTATCGGTAGAAGTTGTGATCTTGATCCAATGCCATATTCTCATAACTAATTTACAA